ATATATATATATATATATATTTATAGGTATAGGTAAGCAGGTGGTGGTATCTAGCTCGTGGGAGGCGTTAATTGGTGGAATGTTGTATTGTGGCTTGGGGGTTTCTCGCCAAGAAGCAGCAGTGTGCGTGCTGTTCCTGTCGATTGTTTGTTGATCGTGGGAGTTTGCTGTAGGATTTTTATTGCTTCGTGAATTTGAAGAGTTGTGAAGTCGTTAAATCGGCGGTTTACTTTGGTGTTTTATACTAGGTCCTAACGTGTGAGTTTTTGGTTGTGGATGCAGGCACAGTGTTCTTTGATGGCTCCATTTTGTAAGTGCATTGTTAGGCGTCTTGACAGGGTTGTGGTAGTCATTCCAATGTAGGAGGCGTTTGCCAGGAGCTCGCAGTCTCCTTTATTACACTTGTACTCGTAAATGACGTTCACTTGCTGTAGATCTGTTGTCTTTTTAGCAGGGCTGTTTTTCAGTAGATTGGTTCCTACTATGGGTGTCATATCATCATTGCCTTTCCACCTCTTCTCACTTCCATTCATATGGTATCTAATCCCAGACTCTGGCTGAAGATGCTCTGTGCCTGGTGTGATTCAACTTTTTTTTAATATGTTTTGGACATACTCCTTCCCTTTCTCCCTTGTGGGAATTGTCACTCACTTTTGTCTTGGCCTCCTCCTGCACTATTTATTACAGAGACTTCTCTGACTGCCTCAAATTTTGGATGGCTTGGGAGGGTGTTTGGATGCTATTCCTTTCCCTCTACAGTCATTCTGACCCAACTTCTCTTTTTTGTTCTGTATGGTCTATTTATTATTATGTATCTTGTATTGCCCCCTATTAGGGCATTTGCCAGTGTATTTTCTTGCTGTGGTATTCCTCTTCTGCTAGTCACTTTTCTCCTTCCACTTTTCCTGTTTAGGTTATACACCTCTTCCACCTAGTTTCTTCCTTTGTGGATGATGATCCTTTTTTTATTTTTCATGTCTCCTCCCATCATTTTTGTCATCTCATGGCTTCCCTTGCTTCTAGCCATTGACATAACCTGTATGACATCTTGCAGGTGGAGATGTAGATGAACCCTGACACATAAGTGTCCCATTACTTGCACCAAAGGGAGGTTTCACCTTCCTTGGCTTTTGACTCTCTCCAGTTGACATTCTTCAATCTTCACAATGGCTTTGAGAGTGAGTGGTTTATTTTTCTTCTTTCTTTTTCATGTCTTCCAATCATTTTATTCTAATTATATATATATATATATATTATGGAAATGATGGAACCCTCTGAGTAGCTGGTGTTGCTTCACAGGGAATACTCATCTGTAATCCCCAGCAAACATGGAAGTATGGAAAGTGTTTAAGTCCATTCATCTATGCTCAGTGCTTGCTGTTGAGATGGAGTTTTCTGCAAGAATGTTTTTATGTATGTCTTCCAGGCTGTACTGCACTCGAAAAAAAAAAAGAGAGAGACCAGATGTGTGTATGCCTTCAAACCTGGTTTGGTTAGTAGCATTAACCCATTGCACTTTCTCTTAGTGTGGGACCTAATTCTGGATGATTGTGCCTGATGACAATGGTCCATGCACCTCTCCAATTTTCTCCCCCATGTACATTCCTCCACCCCAGTTTCTTCTAATGGAACTTGGGAGAACTGTTGCTTCTGTAGTCCCAAGCTGCTGGAGAAGTCGAGGTGGAGAATCTTTCAGAGGGCAGAGCAATTTCACTGTTATGGGACCAACTGGACACACCAGTCATTTGAGAAGTAGAACTGGTAGTGTAATATAGGACACCCCACCATGAACCAAGCCATTCCTGGTAGTTAGATTCAGTTGAATGGATCTTGGGCTCACCTCAAGGCACAAGTCTGGATTGCTACTCCTTGCAACTGATTTTTGTGGTGAATATTTCATGAAAGTATTTCTCCAGTATGGAATGGTCTGGCTTATAACCCTATCTACACTATATACTCATGATCAGCTGTACACCTGTGAAATAATGAATGGTTGAGCAATCTACCATTCTGTCCATCTTAGCAATGAGTTAGCACCCTGCAACAGATTCTTATGACAATATTTTTTGCTTTATCACCTATGTTATACAAAGGATATTCCTTGCTTTGGATGTATGTGGTCTTTCACCACACACTGCCCCACTATATCCTCCTCCCTGCCTTGTTTCTGGATGTCACATTCCATGGGCCTTTTCTTTCTGACACTGTTTTCAGAAAGATCATCTTTTTTAATTTCTATGCACTGGCCCTTCCATCATGTTCAGTGTGGTATTCTAGCTCTTTGTGGTGCAGAGAGTGAGTAGAGTTTCTGGAATTTACATTTTTCTTACCTGAATCTCTATTTGAGGTAGATACTTACCTCTATGCAGCACCTCCCATTCTTTCTCCCCACTTCTGTTGTATTTAGGCTGTTTCATGAAGAAGGAGCCTGTCTTCACACACTAGTGCTTATGGGGATTACTGCATATGGAAGATGTGTCACTCTCCTGCTGGTGGAGGGCTAATGATGATCATAGTCAGGTGCAGTACATGTTGACATGTGTAAGGGTGGAAGCTTTGTTCAAGGCTTGTGGCATGCACAGGAGGCAAGATAATACCTCTTTGTGGTGCAGAGAAGTTAGTTTTTTCTGAAATACATTTTTAAGTAAGGAAAATGTTAAATTTGTTCTCTGATCACAACCTTCAGTACAACATTGTTTGAGATTTATATAAATATGATCTTTCCTTATGTAAATGTTAGTTCATTCTTGTAGGATTTAAGAAACAAATACCAGTTCATGCGGAGGACAAGACCAGATGGTAACTGTTTTTACAGAGCCTTCAGCTTTGCTTATTTAGAAAGTCTACAACATGACAAACAAGAATATCTCAGGTAGTTATGAAAGTGGTGAATTTGCTTTCTTATTGGTTAATTAAAAAATGCTAGACTTTATGTGTATATAAAGAGTTGGAACTTCTATGAAATTTCATTATCAAGTTATTAAGTTGCTCAAGCTCTCAATCTTTTTTTTAAATTGTAAGTTTATGAGAAAGTAGTCTTCTCATAAGTTTTTTTTTAAAGAGTGTTGTCGTCTGTAAATGTAGAATGAAATTTCAGAAAACACTTTTTTTTATCATTGTAGATCACACTGAATCTTTATAGGGTTAAGTTTTGAAAGAACACTGTAGGAAAAAAAAAATTGGTGCTAACAGTTCTTCATTAACTAAAATGATTTTATAACAGTTCTTTGATAATAGTAATTTATTTACTTCTATATATTAGTGTTTATATGCAATGTATACAAAGGACAATTAGCATCCTATGTATAAAGTATAGAAGTGAAAACTAAAATGAAAATTAAGTTAACTGGACTTTTATGTTGTATTGTGAATTAGTAATTTCTTCAGGTATTGACATTGCATTGTTTATTTATTTGTAAATACCTTGAATAAATTATGCTCGCAGGTTCAAAAGTGTTGCCTCCAGAAGTAAAGAAGATTTAATTGCCTTAGGATTTCCACAGTTTACAATAGAAGACTTTCATGATACAGTGAGTAGTTGCTAAAACACACCTGTTGAGTATTTATGATATACAAAAAATGCATTTACATTGTGAGTCCTTCATTTTGTTTAACTCTTTCAACACGGGCTTGGTCCCTGGGACCAACCTTGTAACCATTTTGTGTTTGTTATAGCATGAAAACTATTAAATTAGTAAGCAAATGTTAAAGTAATTTGGCAAATTATCAGTTAACATTACAATGCTTTCATGTGCAAAATATCAATTTTTTATTAAATATTAAGGTTTCTAAAGCAATGTTTTTCTCATGCCTTTTTTTCTTTTCTCATGTTACCTATCTATCATGCAAAGTAATTTTCTTTTTAAGATTAAAGATACTTTTATGCATCAGAAAATTTTCAAATTTCACATGTGAAATCTTTATAATGTCCAGATAGTTATCAAACATTTCTTAAGAAAAAACTTTATATTTTATCTGTTATTTTCAGTAATTTATCTCTGTATGGGATCGGTAGATTTGACCAATCTCACAACCACCATAAAAAATAATGAAATAAATATAAATTATGCCTCTTTCATTCTAGAATGAGCACAAATTATAACACAAAA